CCCGGATGTAAAGAATGTAATTTATTGGGGAATCACTGGCCCTGACTCGCCTTTCACTGCTACCGAGACAAGCGACATATCCATAAATATATATATATATATATAGGGACAGGGACGGGGACGGGGCGTGGGTTTGGCGTCCCTTCCGGACTCAATCACTTCTCCCCCTTGATTTTCTTTGGTTGATTTGGATCTTTTTTGCTGGTGTCCGAGACTCCGTGTGAGAGTGAGGTTTGCTTCTAATTAAAGGTGAAATGGCTTTACCTGCCTCCCGCCCCGCGCCTCCCTCGCCTCCCGCCCCGGGACGGGAAACTGAGGCCCCGCGGCCGGCCCTGCGCTGCGGTCCTTCGCCGCCAGGGGGCGGCGGCGCTGCGGGAAGGCTGCGCTGCGCTGCTCTGCTCTGCTCTGCCCGCCGCTCCCACCGCGCCACAGCCACGGGCTGAGATGAGATGAGAGCGGCCCCGACCCCGGCCCGGCCATGGAGCGGCGCAGAGGTAGGGCCGGGCCGGGCTGCGAGGGACACGGCGTGTGCGTGTGTGCTGGTGTCTGTGTACAGATGTGCATGTGTGTGTGTGTGCATGTGTTTGGATGGGGGTGTTTGTGCCCATGTGGTTGTGCATATGTTTGTATGAAGGGTGTTTGTCCATGTGTTTGTGTGCTTGCTTGTGTGTGTGCATGTGTGTGTTTGTTCATGTGTTTGGGGGGGGGTCTTTGTGCCTATGTGTTTGTGTGTGCTTGCTTGTGCATGTGTGTGAGCCTGTGTGTTTGTGTGTGCATATGTTTGTGCATGCGTGTTTGGGTGTGTGCGTGTGTTTGGGTGTGTCTGTCTGTGCATGTGTGTGTTCATGTGTTTGCATGGGGGGTTGTGCATATGTGTTTGTGTGTGCTTGCTTGTGTATGTGTGTGAGCCTGTGTGTTTGTGCATAAGTGTGCATGTGTGTTTGTGTGTGTTTGTATGGGGGAGTGCTTGTGCATATGTGTTTGTGTGTGCATATGTGTTTGTGGGTTTGTGCATGTGTGTTTGGGTGTGTGCATGTGTTTGTGCATGTGTGTGCATGTGTGTGTTTGTTCATGTGTTTGGGGGGGTGTTTGTGCATATGTGTGTATGTGTGTGAGCCTCTGTGTTTGAGTGTGTGCATATGTGTTTGCTTGTGTATGTGAGCCTGTTTGTGAGTGTTTGTGCATGTTTGTGTGCACGTGTTTGTGTGTGTGCATATGTTTGTGTGTGCATATCTTTCTATGTGTGTTTATGCTTGTGCAGATGTGTTTGCGCTTTGCATGTGTGTACACATTTGTGCATATGTGTGTGTGTGCTTGCATATCTGTGTGTATGTGTAGTGTATGTGTGTGCTTGTAAGGGCCAGGGTGGGGTAGGGAGTGGAAGGCGTGGGTAAGAATCAGGGAAGGGCTGGGGCAGACTTGGGGCACGGATAGGCAGGAGCGTGGGCATGGGCATGGGCGGGGACAGGGGCAGTGGTGCCTACAACCAGGCCTGTGCCCCAGCCAGTGGGCAGGCATGCCTGTGGCCCCGTCCCCATGCCCATGTGCACAGAGCCCCAGCCTCCTCTGCCTGCTGGGGCACGAGGCTCCCATGCCCAGGCTGCACGTGTGATGGGCACCAGCTGCATGTCCAGGGTGTCCCGCAGGGCGCTGGGACATGGGGCCATCCCTACAGCCCTGCTGTGCATGTTGCGGCTCCCTGCCGAGTTGTCTTTCAGGCTCCGTGCGGTGGCATCCCCAGGCCAGGGGTGTTTGGGAGGTGGGAAGGGAAGGGGGTCAGACACATCCCTGCCGTCCCCAGGGTATGAGCTGAGGTCCCTGCCTGGGAGGGAGATGCCTGGACAGACCCGCTCCTGCTCTGCCTGGGAACATGCAGCGCCGAAAAGGAATGACAGTAATTGCCATGTCCTCTTGCCGCGTTTCCTCCCTCATCCCTATGCCCTCTGAGTCATCCCGCGGTTCGCATGCAGGTCCAAGTGCTGCACAGCAGAGACCGACCCCAGGACAGACGGGGATCGGAGGGGAGAGACTTCCTGCAACAGAGTCCGCCTGGCACAGGGTGGGAGGGCCTGCGAGCTGGCAGCCACCTGCCACACTGCTTAATGTGGGGGCAGCTCGAGGGCAGGATTCTCCCACTGGCCCCCACTGATCTCCCTTGCAAGGAGGCTCCTGCCAGAGTCATGAGCTCAGACCATGCTGCTGCCCTTGGTTTTGGCTCTGCTGCCTTTGCACCCTCAGCTCTGAGCCAGAGCCTGGGCTCAGTGCTGCAAAGGTGGCCAAGGGCCCAGCAGGGATGGCATCTGCGTGGGCATCCTGACCTGCCCTTCACCACCCTTGGAGTGTGCCTGTGGCTCCAAGGAGGGATCAAACCATGAGGGAGCCCTGGCCAGCCGCGTGCTCTGCAGAGAGGATGCCAGACTTGTCAGTAAGCACCGTGGGCAGTGAGACCTGGGCACGCAGGCAGAGGACACTTCATTTCCTTGCAGCCGTGCATGCTGTTAGCAAGTGTCTTTGGGTGCCTGTGACCTGGCTGCACATGCATGTCAGCGCGGACACGCGTGGTCCTGCAGCCCAGCTGCCGCTGACAGCTCCAGAGGGACGAGGTGTCTGGAACGGGTTGGATGGAGGCGCTGGATTTTCCATGGGCCTTTCCCTGTGCTGTCTAGACTCTCCCAGCTCCTTGTCTCTGGGGACAGAGGAAGCAGGGGCTGCGGCAGCGCCTTGCCTGTTCCCCGCAAAGGGGTAGCTGCAGGGACCTTGTCACGTTGGAGCTGTCCCCGCTGGGAGGGGGCATGGGCAGGAGAAGGAGCTGGTGTGGGGAAGGCGTTTACCTTAAACGATTCTTTCTTACCATGGAAACACAGGCAGCTGTTTTCAATCTCGGTAACATTTCCCTGGCCTGAGATGCTTGTGGCTGGCCTGCTGTCAGGGGTGAGTCGGGGACCCCGCCGAGGGCTGGAGCACAGCTCGGGGAGCAGGGCTTGTGTGCATGCACACTCGCATCACACGTGCATACGCGCATCTGGAGGCTGAGGTGGGCACATGCACAGGGGCTCCTGTGCACACATGTAGAGTCATACACCCCACATGTACACGTGCCTGACAAGGCGCACGCACTGCACACACAAGCCCTCCGCTGCCGGCATGCCCACACACCTACACACGTCTTCAGGAAGGTGTGCGCACGTGTGATAGCATGGGAAGGAGGGTGTGCATTCCCACCTGCAAGGGTGCTCATGCCCACATGCCACCCACGGGCCACGAGTGTAACAGGCCCTGACTCATCCCTTCGGTGCAGGGAGGACTTCCTCCTACAGCCACGGTGGCACGGGACCCCTTGCTAGCTCACCGGCTAGCCCCTGGAGGAGCAGGGGGACCATGGGTGAGTGGCAGGGCACAAACTGCAGGCACTGGCAGGCCGGGCATTGGAGACTGGGCTGGGCCAGGCTTGGGGAGAAGCGTGGGCTGAGTGGATGGCTCTGCAGAGGGGATGTCATCGCAGAGGAATTCAGGCTCCGCAGTGGGAGAAGAGAGTGGTGTGGGGAGGAGCTGGGGGGACACAGCCCCCTGGAGCTCAGGCTCCCTGGGATGTGTCCCTTGGCTGCCTCTGCTCCCAACACCCTCCTGCCCCCCTTCCACTCCCCCACCCCTCTGGACAAGGTGCAGGGGATTAGTCACTATCCCCTCTCCTCGTCTTGCCAAGTCCAGATGTTTGGTTCCTGCTCTGCTGATCCTGACTTTTTCCCTCCCTCCCTGCCAGATGTTTTCTGTCCTCCGGGCAGGGACCCTCTCTGCACATGCTCCGTGACTGACCTTTCTGGCAAGGATGGAGCCAGGGGCTGGTGGACCCTGGCCCCTCAGTGCCCTGTGTGGGTCTGTAGCTCCTCCTTATGGCAGGGGCTAAAGCAGGGTGCATTGGAGAAGCTGGCATGGGGAGCAGGGTGGATGACGCCCCCACTGCAGGGGAGCTGAGCCCAGCCCTGCCGGGAATAAAAGGCAGATGGGGCCTGGCAGGAGCCAGAGGCTTCAGTGAGTGAAAGCAGGTGACCCAGGAGAGGTGGGTGGTTTGTGCAGGAGGAGAGGCAGAGAGGTAGGCCAAGCTACAGGCCCTGGCAGGGTGGCAGGGTAAGAACCAGGCTGGCCCCAGGGATGGCTGAGGTATCCCTGGGGTGCAAAATGGGAGGAGGCGGCTGTGGGCTGCAGGCTGTGAGTCTCCATGGGTCTCAGCACAGACTCATCACCCTGTATTAAGCTGGAGGACAAGTGTGGAGCTCTAGAAACAGGGCCCTGGACCAGGCGGCTTCCAAGAGAGGCTTGTGGCTGATGGCAGCCTTCCTCTCACTGCTCCCAGCCTGCAGGGCTGGGGTGCTTGTGGGGCTGTGCCTCGCCACAGCCAGGTGCCGCAGCCTCGCCAGAGGATCCTCAATGACCTCGGAGCTTTTCCAGGCAGAAAATTGTAGCTTTGTGTTTGGAGAAGCCGGCAGGAGACAGGGGGCGGGGTAGGGGGCCGGGAGTGGGACGCCCAGGCCCTGCGCCAGGAGTCAGTGGGTTTCGTCAGCAGGCCTGCAATGTTTTATTGCAGCTGGGAGCAGGGAGATGTAAAACACTTCCAGATGCAGGGCGGGCCAGCGGGGCAGAGGAAGGATAGGGCACAGCCTGGATGCGGGCAAGCAGGAGGGGGAAGGCTGTGTCTCTGGGAGCACGAGCCCCTATCTCTCTTAGTCCAAAAGAGGTGGGGAGGCAGCGCGGGGCACAGGCCAGGGTCCCGTGTGGGACCTGTGGCTGAGCTGTAAGCAGAGCCAACCTGGGGGGTGCCGCTGGCTCTGGGCCCAGGTTGCGCATGCAGGCACAGGGAGGGGGCATCTGCCCACACCAGGCTCTGCTCTGTGTCACTGGCAGGGGCGGGGGGCACCCAGGAGCAGGGGAATAGGCCCGTCCTCTGCCATATGTTCCCCAATTGCAGGAAATCTTGCTGGGATGCCAAGCAGACCCTGCTTCTGTTGGGGACTGGGTGCCAGGAGCTGCCACCCACGCTGCAGTCACCACCTGGGTGACACTTCTCCTTTCCAGACCCCTTGCAATAAGGATGGGAACCAGGCTGAGACTGCACCCAGCTCACTGCAAGTGTGAGCTCAGCCGGGGTGTGCAGAGATGGAGGAGGCCACTGAGCCATCCCATGGCGCTGGTCAGGTCTTGGCTCCTGTCTGAGTCTGGCACCCCACTCTGCACGGGGGGTGGGTGTTGTGGGCTCTGCTGGCGATGGGGCGATGGCAGAGGTGGATTCGCAGTCTTGTAACAGAGCAGCTGAGTTATAGGGTAAGGCGCAGACTGAGGGCCAACCCATCGTGGCAACATAAGGCATCACCCGAGGGCAAGGTACATCAACAAGCCACCCCAGGGCAAAGCAAATGGGGCTTGCCCAGGTGTCAGCTGCTTCAGGGTAGCTTCCCCTGCATGGGCTCTTCCCCTACGGTGATTGGAGGTGACCCAGCAGCCTCAGACCGCTTCGTGTTTCTTCTGGGGTAAGAGCATGCACATGGGGCAGTTACTGCAGAACAGCGGATGTGTGGCAAATCCTCTGTTCCCACCGTCCACCAAAGGGCGAGCCATGTTCCCATTTCACAGATAAGAGAACGGAGAGCACGGCCGTGACTTGTCTCCAAGGGCAGTGTTTCTCAATGGTTTTGTACCAGGGTGCATTTGTAAACATTGATGGCTGGTCCCAACTCCGTAAACAGCCCCCTGGCCCTGGGGGCATGTGTAGGGCACAGGGGGGGCCCAAGCAGCCCCTTGCAAGCTGGAACTCTGCCAGCCTGCAAGAGAAAACCCACCACTTCCCATGTTTTTCTCCTTTAAAGGAGAATCCATTTTTAAAGCTTGTTCATGACCCTTTCATATATTCTTGTGACCTACTTTTAGGTTGAGACCCATGGGTGGAGAAAGACTGCTCTAGGGGATGCAGCAGGGCTGGCAGGTCCCGAGCCAGGAGTCCCCCCATGTCCCTCTGAATGCACAGGCTGCCTTGGAGATGCTCATCAC